TCTGGTTTCAAACATGTTTGCTCATAACTCCTGCCACCTTTACAAACCATTGCATGCACAGTTTTTCTCACTGTTGATGCCATGACCCACACTGGGCTTAACAGGCACTGTGCACCTCGTGACCTCTTCATTTGGGATAGCTTTTTCTTTATTTGTTCTGATGCAAAAATTGCTCTTAGGAGTTTTCCACAGAGCACAAATACAATGCAGATTCTCAGTCAGGTGTTTCCTCCTGCAGCACCAAATCGTACTTCAGTCCTGGAGGGTTCATTGTCATGGGAGCTCTGTGTGGATGTTTCCAGATCAAGGCTAGGAGTTTGTTACTATCTTTAAAAAAATACTGCAGGATATAATGCTCAGTGTGATTTAACCAGAAAATCATCTCCTGTCCATGCTGCTGACACACTCCCTGTCGCTGACTTCTGAACACACAAGTTTTTCAGTGCATTTGCCCCTGAAATGCTCATGGAAGAGGTTGGTTCCCACAACTTGCTGACAGGGGCTGTGCCTGAAGCCCTCTGCTGGGTTTCTCCTTGCAGCATCCCTCGTCGTGGTGTTCCCACCCTCACTGACCCCACACAGCCAGCCCTGCCTGCTCTCACTGCACCGGCGTCACCATTTCCCAACACTTCCCACAAACCAAACAGTGTGGGGTGCCCCCCTCCTCCCAAGATAAATATTGCAGACTGGAGCCAGCTTTAATCTTTAACCACCGCCCTGGCAGCCAAGTGTGCCATCAGCTGCACCGTAGCCAGCTCTGCTGCTCCCTGTGTGCCCCATCTCCAAGCCCTGCAGAGCAGGAATTCAAACACCCCCAGCTCTGCCCCCAGTCCACCTCATTCCATCTTGGCTTCTTGAATTTTTCCAGATGTAAACAGGCTTCAGGGGACCCCTTCCAAGGGTGGCTCACTCTTGGGATTTCCTTCTCCATAACTCAATTCCTGGTGTAGTGATGGGAGAAGAGAAATCCCTCTCTCCATATCTCCAGGTCCCCTGGAGGTCAAGGAAGACTCCCTGTGGGCCATGAGCTGCAGTGCTGGAGCTCATCAACCGACACAGCCCTGAACCATTTTTTTATTTGTCTGCTTGCATGGGATTCAGCTTCCTTAGACCCATTTTATCCTCTAAGCACCCCCCTGAAGAACTCTAGGGGAAACCAGTCCCGTATTATCGGGCTTGCCTTTTACTGCTAGGAGACTGAAATCGTGTCCAGGAGAAGAAAAATCACAAAGAAGGCTGGTTCTGCTTCTTAAGAGCAAAAGTCAGTGCCTGGGCAGTGTGTGCAGCAAAGCAAACTCTTGTTTTGTATCCCCTCCCAGAGCAGCATCCAACTGCACTGGCGTCACTGGCTGTGCAGCTGCTGGCGTCACCAGGGCTGGAGCCATTCCCCTGCCCTCTGCAGAGCAGAAAGGGCTTGTGAAAGCCAAAAGAAAACACTTCCAATATGTGCTTAAAAGCAGGTGGCAATTACTGGTGCCATCCTTGGTCTGCTCTCACTGTTTTATTGGTGAGCCCACCACCGTGCCACATCCCATGTTTCGGTGGGGACATCCTTGACCACCCCGGTACACAAAGCAGTGCTGTCCATATGTTTTTTTTATTATTATTTGTTTGTTGTTTTTTGCTTTTTTTTTTTTTTTTTAATTGTAGGAGAGAAAACTTTGCAGCACTTTAAGCAAATAAAGTGTGCTAAAGCCAGTCAAAATGCACCAGCAACCAGTTCTTACAATGAGCAGGTGCTCAGTTCAGCTCAAGATGCTGAACCAACAAGTTTGGTTCTGTTACCCTCATCTTAAGGATGCGGGAGCCTTTGGGTCAGCCAGCTGTTGGGTCCCCAGGATCCAGTGACACATGCTCTCCTATAACTGTGACACAGCACTATGCAGCCCCCAGACTCAGGATTCCCACTGGATTACATGCCTATGCCCACATGCACAGATCCCACTAAAGGCTGAGCGTGCCTAAATCAATACCAATGTAGCATGGTGGCTTCTGAATGCAAATGGCTCTTCTGAAAGTAAACAGGATCAGACAGGTAAAATAGTGGCATTCATATTTTGCCCAAGGAAAAAACTTATATTTCATGTATGTTAGGAAGCATACTAGACTTTTGTAAACCCAGGGAGCTAAAATGGTGGCACCATACTGGCTTTTATTTCTTGTATTGACCACTCCTCACTGTATCCGTGCCTATGTTTGTATATACACACGTATGCAGCACAACTGAGAATGCAGAACATGCTCTGTGCATCCCTCCCCACACTGCTGTCCCCACTGGCAGGGGAAGAGGCAGTGAGCAATGACTGAAACACATCAAACCCCACATGAGTGGAGAATGCTTTTTTACTGTGCTAGTGACAAATGAATTGGGCAGGGGCTGGAGTGCATGCCTTCAGCACTAGCCCCTCTGGGAGAGGGAAAGGGAAAAGGGAAGGGGAAAGGAAAAAAGGGAAAAAAGGGAAAAAAGGGAAAAAAGGGAAAAAGGGGGGAAAAAAGGAAAAAAAGGAAAAAAAGGGAAAAAGGGAAAAAGAGAAAAAGGGAAAGGGAAAGGGAAAGGGAAAGGGAAAGGGAAAGGGAAAGGGAAAGGGAAAGGGAAAGGGAAAGAGAAAGAGAAAGAGAAAGAGAAAGAGAAAGAGAAAGAGAAAGAAAAAGAAAAAGAAAAAGAAAAAGAAAAAGAAAAAGAAAAAGAAAAAGAAAAAGAAAAAGGAAAAGAAAAAGGGAAAGGAACAGGAGCAGGAAAAGGGAAAAGGAAAAGGAAAAGGAAAAGGAAAAGGAAAAGGAAAAGGAAAAGGAAAAGGAAAAGGAAAAGGAAAAGGAAAAGGAAAAAGATACCAGCACATCTGTAGTGCTGACTCCCACCCCACTGCCCCCATCTCTCCCTCTCTGCTCATTCACCACAGCACCTCCTCCTCTGGGGTTTGCCTTTGCTCTCTTCCCAAAATCAACCATAACTTTTGTCTTCCCCTGAAAGGACAAAAAGATTTCACGCATAACTTGCCCCAAACAAAGGCACCTCACGCCAGGGCTTTCTTTCTCTTCTTCCTTTTCTGTTTTCCACCACACACCAACAGCAGCAGGGGCGGCTGCTGTGGGGGGAGCTTGATGTTATATACCTACTCTGTGCTGAAAAGCAACTTGGAAAACACTGAGCTCCAGAGATATGTGGAAGGGCAGTGTGGGAGAAGATGGATCAGTGGCTGCTGGTATCCATAGAGGAAATCTATGGGAAATCTGGGAGCTATGACTTGCAGCCAGCTTGTAAAGAGATTCTGAGAGCTCCAAAGGGAGGCCTGGAATGAACAGGGTCTTACCTCAGAAGAGCACAAAGCAGTCACTTTTAGATTGGACTCAGCCATTTTATTCCCCAGCTGCACTTCTGTTTTTCTGCATTTCTGTGTTTCTGCATTTCACGCAGTTTATCTGCATGCCTCAAGGCAGAGGGATGCCTGGCCCCCTCCCCTCCTCTGCCCCATCAGTGCTGCTCTCCACAGCACCCAGACCTCAGCTCTTAGTGTTCCCTACAAAGGGACAGCACATTCTCTCTGTGCCCGACAGAAGAAGCGGGGCTACGACCTTCACAAGAGCAGCGACAGTTATCAGAGCCCTAGATAAGGCTGACATAAAACGCAAGGACGTGGCTCTCAGTGCTGCCATCTCCCATGTTACTGATTAAAGCGGAGCGAGGGGGGCAGGGGCAGCAGAGGGGACTGCAGTGCTGGGAGCAGCTGCATGGCCTGGCACAGCATGGCACAGCTCAGCATGGCACAGCACAGCAAAGCTCAACCCGGCATGGCTCAGACCAGGGTGATAAGGCCTAGCATGGCTCAGCTTGGCCCAATGTGTGTGCAGATATCCCAGAGTCTGGCTGTAGCAGGCGGTCCCTGTTGCCAACCCATACCATGGGGTCTCGTCCCCGGGGCTCTTGCTGCCACTGAATTCCTGACATCTGCTGCCCACCTGCCTCGGTCCTGCTCCTCCTTGCCTGCCTCAGCAGGGCTGTCCTGGGGGCACAGGGACATCTGTGTTAGGGGTCAGCGATTGCAGGGACAGCAGAGCACAGGTTGGTGTGGTGTGTGTGTGCCCCCCATCCTCACATCTCCCACAGCACCGTACTGTGTGCCAGAGCCGCGGCTGCGCTCGTGACCACTGCGCAGCTCTGCAAAACAGGGAGGAACGAGGGCTCGTGTTGGGACAGGGGCAGCGGGGGCCATGCGGGACTCGCGGGCATGCTGCTGGGCGAGCACGGGGCTCGCAGATGGATCGATGCCCTGCGACGTGCCAGATGGTTCAGGCAAAGGCAGAACTAACGCTGCCCAGAGCGGCTCGCCTGGCTGCTCCTCCCTGCCCCGTACATCGCACGGGAGCAGCCAGGGCTAAGAGCTTTGCCTCGAGGACCCCCGCTCCGTCTCGGTGCGCAGCGCCCGGGCTCCGCGCAAGCAGCACGTCTGAGGGGCTTACATCGGGATGCCGACCCCGGCGCTGCCAAAACGGCTCCGCGCTGTCCGCACCGCACCCCCTGGCTGGGGCCGAGGGGACCGGAGCTCCAGCGCTGTCCTTGCGGAGAAGCGCGGAGCTCCAAACCCCAGAGCCCGGAGCTCCCTCCCGGAGCACCGAGCCCCGGCGGCACAGGCGGGGTCCGGCGGCGGCGGAACCCTGCGCCGCTACAAAGACTCGGCGGCACCTTTAAGGGCCGCGGCGAATCCCCGCCCCCCGCTCCGCCATTGGCCACTCGCGCCCTCCCTCCCCCCTTCCCCGCCTCCCATTGGTGAATTCGCCCGTCAGTCGCGCGCGCCCCGCCCAGCGGGCGCGGCCATGCCGAGCGGCCGCGCGCTCTGGACAGCTCCCGTCGGCCGCAGACAGCGGCGGCGGCGGCGCGGCGCGGACATGGCGCGGGGCCGGCGCGGGCCCGGCTGAACGGCCGCTGCCCGGGGCCCGGCGGCCGCGGCTCGCAGCGCGGGGCCGGCGGAGGCGGCGCGCCGCCCGGATGAGCAGCGGCCCGAATGAGGAGCGGCCGCGGCGCCTACCGATGCCTCGCCGCCGAGCCCGCTGCCTGCGCCATGAACCCCGAGCTGGCGCTGGAGCCGCTGGGCAGCCTGCATGAGCCCGAGCTGCTGGGCAGCCCCGGCCCGCACCACGGCGGCCGAGGCGGGGGAACGCTGCGGGTGCCGCCGCCCCAGGAGCTGCCCGGCGGCGGCGGCGGAGGCGGCGGGGGAGGGCGGGCGGCCATGGTGCCGGGCATGGCCCCGCTGCTGGACGGCGCCGAGTTCCGGCCCGAGCTGTCGGTGCCGCTGCACCACGCTATGAGCGTGCCCTGCGAGCCCTCGCCGCCCGGCATGGGCATGAGCGGCACCTACACCACGCTGACGCCGCTGCAGCCGCTGCCGCCCATCTCCGCCGTGTCCGACAAGTTCCACCACCCGCACCCCCACCCGCACCACCACCACCACCACCACCACCAGCGCCTGGCGGGCAACGTCGGCGGCGGCTTCGCGCTGATGCGGGACGAGCGCGGGCTGCCCGCCGTCAACAACCTCTACGGGCCGTACAAGGAGGTGCCGGCCGTGGGGCAGAGCCTGTCCCCGCTGGGCGCGGGGCTGGCCCCCCTGCACGGCGCTCAGCAGGGCCTGCACGGCTACGGGCCGCCCCCGCCCCCGGGCCACGACAAGATGCTGGGGGCCGGCTTCGAGGCCGTGCCGCACCTGCCGCGGGGGCTGCCGGCGGCCCCGGCCCCGCTGCCGCACCTCAACGGGCAGCACCCCCCTGCCCCGCCGCCACACGCGCTGCCCACCGCCCGCGACCGCCCGGCCGCCGCCGCCCCCGCGCAGCAGCTGGAGGAGATCAACACGAAGGAGGTGGCCCAGAGGATCACGGCGGAGCTGAAGCGCTACAGCATCCCCCAGGCCATCTTCGCCCAGCGGGTGCTGTGCCGCTCTCAGGGCACCCTCTCGGACTTGCTACGGAACCCTAAGCCTTGGAGTAAACTGAAATCCGGCAGGGAGACCTTCCGGAGGATGTGGAAGTGGCTGCAGGAGCCGGAGTTCCAGAGGATGTCAGCCTTAAGGCTCGCAGGTAGGCTCCGCTGCCCGGACCCCGAGGCGATGCCCTGGCTCGGGGCGCTTCCCCGGAGCGTACGGGGTCAGCCCCGCTCCCTCCCTCCCTCACCTCCCCCGTTGGGCGTTCGCGATGCCGCCTCCCGGTTCGGGTCGTGCCCCCGGGCCGGGAGACCGGCCGGCGGCTTCGGAGGCTGCCGTTCCCGCATTGTCCCGCAGCCGGGCGCGGAGGCTCCGCATTGTTCCGCGCTCGCCCCGCATTGTCCCGCGGCCGGGCGCCCCCTGGCGCGGGCTGCCCGCGCCGCAGCACTCCATTGTTCTGCGGGGCCGGGGCAGCTGCGGGGAGGCTTCGGGGAGGCTGCGGAGCCGTTTGTTGCGATAACTCCGCCGCTCTTTCATTTCGATCGGTCCCGATGCGGGGCGACGAATCTTCGCCCGTTCACGAGCGGCGGGTGAATGCAATGCGCGGCTCCGGAACTCCCCGAGCCCCGAGCCCGCCCCGGCCGCCCCCCGCTGCTCTTCCGCAGGGCCTCGGCCGCCCCCCGCCGCAGCACGGGGTGGACCCTTCGGCGCGGGCCCGGAGCACGCGGCCGCGTCGCCTTCCCAAACAAACGCGTACGTAGAGGGAAATCGATGCAGATGATGTTTAGAAGATTAAAAGAGCATTCACGCTAGCAACGTAAACGCATGGACCCAGCGTTCATTGATCTGGAACCTGAGCCGGCTTGCTTCCAAGAACATTGCTGCAGCTCAGCTTTCCCAGCGCACCGCCTGCCTCCGACCCCGTCTACCCCGTCCCGCAGTTCCGGGGCTGCCCCGGGCCCGGCACGGAGGGGTAACACCGAGCACCAGGAGCCCGTTGTGCTCGGGGAGCGGCAGAAGCCGGCGGGCATTGCCGGACCCCTATCGGGCTACGAGGCTGTCCCGCACTGCTGCCTCTGCGCTCCCTGGGGCTGGGGCTCGGGTTTTGAGCCTATGAGGGTTTAAGGAGGGCGGTAAAAACCCCCTGAACCCATTTTTGCTTCTAGCTGTGTCAACCAGGTGCGGCCGTGCCCGTTTCTGTTTCTGGTTTCGTTACCACCGCCGGGACTCCGGCACCGTCAGACTGCGTTTTCGATTGCTCTGGTTTGCTTTGAAACGCGGGGGCTGAGAGAAGCTGCTTGCTCTGCTCCTGGGTACTCCTAACCGAGCCGCTCCCGGTTCCCACTTCATGCGGCCGTGGCGCGGGCAGTCAGAGGGAATAGTGGCTGCCCGAGCAGCAGGAGCCGTCGCGGCATCGGATAGGAGAGGGGGAAGGACGGGGAAGACCTTTGTAAATTACCGACCCCTTCGGGAAATCGATTTTTTATTACCACGTGTGAATATGCAGCCTCATTACCTCGGTGTTTCCTTTCCCTTCCCTTGCTTTCTGAAACTCGTGTGAGCAGGAGGGGAGGTAGAGCCAGCAACCTGCCCACCCCGCACTCTTCCCATAAGTTTTTCTCAAAATGGACCCAAATATTTTATCCTATGAGAGGAAGCCCCTCTCAGGGGAGCTGGAACAGCGCTATGATTAATTTTTAAAGGACTCCAAAGCCTGGAGAGGGGGTCAGCAGCAGCTGTGTCCAAGGCAGGGCAGAGCTGTGCGGTTTTGTTGAGGGGACATCGGCACTGAGACCCCACTCTGCAGCCCAGGAAGCACCATGTGCCTTTGCTGAGTCCCAGGAGGTGAAACAGGGAGAGCATTTCTGGGGGCTGCCGTGAATTTGGGCAAACCCCTCTGCTGCGGCTATGGCTCCACTCCTGGCCCTTGCCCCAACATACACCTGGCCCAGGGCTGCTACCCAGGGCTGCTGGAAGAAAAGAGGAAGCCTCTCCTGTCCCATACAGAGGTGGCAAAACCTTTCACATAAGTTCCATTGATCTCATCCCCTCCTCCACAGAAGCCACATCATGAAAGCCCCTCTATAGGTTCACCCTCGTGCGTGCTATATGTCTGGTTACATGGTACTGCAGCCAAGGTAGCTGGCGGCTTCCACCCATGATCTGGGTGAGAACCAAGGCTGGGAAGAGGGCATGGGAACGAGAGGAGAAATGGGCATGGGAACGATGTGTCCCACAGCCCCCACAGCCCCACAGTGTGCCTGCGGCCCCACAGAGGCCCCTTAGTCCCCGGCCTTCTCTCTGAACTGCCTGCCACACGGAAACGTCCCTGTGAAATCTATGTTTGCTCTGGCCTGGGTAGGGCAGTCTCTGCATTTCTGCCAGGATAAAAAATATCAATGATCACCAGGTGAGTCAATGCATTTATCAGCACAGGGGGTTCGAAGGGCAGGGTTCAACTGTGGTTCAGGTTAATTGGATGCGGATCCACGTCCTCATGCTTGCGTTGCCTACAAAGTGCTCAACTGTGGCATATTATCACCAAATCCGTGGTAGGTAAACACAGGAAGAATGCGATTAAAATAACTCTCGTGCCATATCCTTCTGCATGTTACCACGCTCATGCAGGCTCTGAAGGCTGAGTGAGAAGCCCCTGTTGGCCAGTTCTCACTGAACTCTGCTCATCGTGGTGTTGTCCCGATCAGCAGAGTGCTTTCTCCGCTTGTTTACATCTACTTGCTGAATCATGTTATTGATGATTGCACAGTTTTGTACCGAAACACCGTCGGTGATTCATTGGCCGACCTTGCCGTGCTCATGTTGCCTGGTTGCATGGTGGCCAGGCGGTTCTCGAAGCGGTAGCAGCCGACTCGGGTCCACGCGGTGAGACTTGCCCCTGCGTCCCCCTGAGTGTCCCCGTGTCCCCGTGCGTGTCTCCGTGTCCCCTTCTGTGTCCCCGCGTGCGCAGCGCCCGCAGCGCTCCGTCAGCACCACAGACAGCGGCAGGAGGGACGCGGGTCCCGGCATTCGCCGGCGCTGTCCGTGGTGCTGAAGGCGGGCGCGCTGCCCTCCGCTCTCCACGTGAATTTCCTTCTGAATTTTGAGTCTGTTTTTGTAGTCTGTACATATAGCTATAACTAAGACGTAATAACGCCTGTATCAATTCTGTTAAGTATACGTACGGCTGTTTCTTAGCATTGAACTAAAAATACAGGTACGTCAAGATTATTTGAAAGGTGTTTATTGTCTTTTAATATTAGTAGTTTCTTCAGATATAGATTAGTGGTTGTGTCTGAACAATCTGTGTAGTAAATCGTGAAGCTGAGTGGTAAATCATATCTGTAAAGTACCAACTTTCTGAAATAATATCCCGCCTGTCTTTTTATACCTCATTATTTCCGCAGACACTAAAGGTGTTCCTGCTCTGCAGACATTTGAATGCTCTTTTTGTTAACCAGGAAGTTTTTGTCAGCCTCTTGGTCAGCTGACGAAGAAAAATCTGACCACTTTCATCATTAAATACGTTTCTCTCTCTTATTCGCTCCACTTTTTTAGTGAGAAACAATTTTTCTTTCAAGATATGTTACTCTGAAATCTTCTAATCTCTGTTCTTCACTATTTTTTTAAGTTGTTTTTTCAGCATGACTTCTTTTTTTCCCCCTAATATTCTGTCTTTATTGCCATTTGACCTGAAAAACAAACAAACAAAACAAAACAAACGAACAAACAAACAACAACAACAAACAACCCAACAACCTTCAAATATTTCTCTGCATTTTTTAAAATAACAATTTATAGATCATTTTTGGCCAAAGAATTATTTCCTAATAACTTCTCCTCATTCTTTTCTGTTCTTTGTAGCAGCATTTTGACTCAAACCTTGCACTTTTGTTTTTCTGCACTGGATGTTCCTGCCATCCATCTGTTGCAAGGGACTTTCCAATCCCTTAGAAAGCAACCTTTGGATTGGAAGCCGAGCTCTGCAGGAGTGTGGAGTGTTAATCTGACAGGGAAAGCAGGAAAAGGTCTTGTGATGCCACCAGTCTGCCCCATTCCTCAAGAATCATCAGTGATGGGGATTTTCTGGCTACCTAGGCAATCTCTCCCAGAGCTTGCAGGTACAAAAATCCTTAATGACTAGCCTTAATCTCCCTTTTTGTCTTTTAAATCCTTTGCTTCTCATCTTATCCCCATTAGACAGAGCAAAAAAGAAAAAAAAGAAAAATTACTTCCTTTCTTCTAATAGCAAGCTGTTTGTATTTAAGTCAGCTATCATGGCTCCCATCTTCTCTACAAAAAGCCCCACCATACTTTGGAAGTGAATATGCAAACAAAACATGATGTCTGATGGGACTGGTAATACATCTTTTTTGTATCCGGTCCTATCAATCTTACAGACTTGCATAAAATACTTTCTGGGAGGACTTTTGTATGCAGAAATCATACAAAACTGACTAGTCTCAAATGGGTTTGGTGATGAGATCAGCAGGACAACTCACTGATGGTAGATAGAAACTCGATCAAAAAGAAGTTGGAGTATTTTGGGGTTGTTTGCATTTGCTGAACTATCAACTCAAACTGCTCCATTGTGAGGAAGAGGGAATCAAACCACTGCTAAATGCTTCACAGAGGAATTATTAGACAAGCAAGAGAGGCTGGCAGTTTCCCAAAACGCAAATTGTCTCTGGGACCAAAATATCTCTAAGTAAGCAGGGAACATATTTATGAGTAGCGGTGATTTTCCAGCAGATCTCATCTTGTAGTAATGGCCATTTAGAAACACGGGTCTGTGCCGAGGCATTAAGCTTTGGCAAGCAGCACACATCCAAAGAGGGAAAGGAGGAGCATGAGGAAGCTCCCTGGGAGCGATTCCCCTCCTCACCGTGCAGCTCTCCTCTGTTTCTTTAGTGCCTACTTGCTCTTGTAACCAAAGACAGACTTACTGCACTCCCCATGCTGTTATCACCCCATGGACAGCCTCCCTCTTCTGTCCCTTACATCTCACAAGACACTGGCAACATGCAGCCCTGTTGGTTTGGTGTAAGCTCCCACAGCTTCCCCATTCCTCCTGTCACTTTAGTGCCAGGTTTTCCCTCCACCATGCCCAGACCTGCTGGGTGCTGTCTCTCCCTTGTCCCTTGGCCCCATGCAGGATAT